AACAAGACCCTGCAGCACTCAACTTAATTGCATTTCTCTGGTTCTATGTAACTTTCAATAATCTTCTGAATGCTGCATCTGATCAAGTCCAACATTTCATGGAACACTCCCAGCATCGATCAAATGTTGTCTCCTGATCAAGGGAAACCAACCAATGTTCAAATCAAATATTTTTTAGCCAAAACTACATCCCACAATAGGCAAAGGTTGTTAAAAGTGGATCTATTGAAGATACAATGGGTCTGGTCATGTCGCACAAGCAAACCAATAAGTTTTCAGTCTGTTTGCCAAGGCCTTTGAGAAAAGATTATAGTTAGAGCAACGCAGGGGGGGGACACAGATCTCCAATCCTTTACCTCCCCAAGATACCCCTTCTTAAGCAAAAGGGTGAGAATTGCTCGACAACAACTAAGTGGTAATATCTTCTCCCTGACACTCTCCTGAAAAACCTGGAGCAAGTCAGTCCCAAAAAGGGTCCAAAAGGCCTTGCAAAACTCAACAGGCAAACCATCATTACCAGGTGTCTTCCCTGGAGCATTTAGGGCATGTGACACTGTATGGATTCTGGGGGACATTTGAACATATTATAAATATTAATATTGTACAATTGCAATGAGTTGTGCCAGATATGCCATGTAAGATATCTGCAAAAATGTTATAATCTGCCAAATATGATAATCTAGTTTATATGTTTGTATCATCTTTGTATTCTGGGTTATGGATATATATCTATGTATGTCTGTGTTATAAAACTTGTGCTATGCTTCTGGCTGACACCCCCAGACAGTTTGGCATCAGCCCTGCCTAGCCTGCTTGATTAGGGTTACCATCTTTTAGTTTTTAAAAAGGAGGACACTCCATGGGGCCCCAGCCCCGCCCCTTCCCTGCCCTCAGCCCCGCCCCAACTCAGCCCCCTCCCCTGAACGCTCCTCCCCCTGCTCCTCCCCCTCCCCTGCTTCCCACAAATCAAATGTTCGCGGGAAGCCTGAAACAGGGAGGCAGCAGGTAGGCTGGGGCAGGGTGCGGCGTGACTCAGTCTGGCCCTCCTGGCCGAGTGGCTCCCTTCGGCGGCCAGCTGGCCGGCCCAGGCCAAGAGGCTCTGGCCCCGGCGTCTCCCGCCCGGCTTGGCTCGGGCCCTGGGGCACTGGCTCCCAGCCCGGCCCCGCGACCCCAGCTCCCGGCCCGGCCCCGCGCCCCCGGCTCCTGGCCCGGCCCGGCCCCCGGCCCGGCCCCACACCCCCGACTCCCGGCCCGGCCCCGCGACCCCGGCCCGACCCGGCCCCGCGACCCTGGCT